TAATTCTGGTTTGGCGGTGATGAACTCCTTTAGCTTTTTTTTATTAGTGAAGCTCTTTATCTGGCCTTCGATTCTGAGTGATAGCTTTGCTGGATAGATTATTTTTGGCTGTAGGTTCTTGCTATTCATCACCTTGAATATTTCTTGCCATTCCCTTCTGGCCTGCATGGTTTCTGTTGAGAAGTCAGCTGACAATCGTATAGGTGCTCCTTTATAGGTTACTACCTTCTTTGCTCTTGCTTCTTTTAATATTCTCTCTTTGTCTTTTGCTCTTGGAATTTTAATAATGATGTGTCTCGGTGTGGTCCTCTTTGGATTCCTTTTGTTTGGAGTTCTGTGTGCTTCCTGGGCTTGTAAGTCTAACTCTTTCACCAGGTGGGGGAAGTTTTCTGTCACTATTTCTTTCAGTATGTTTTCGATATCTTGCTTTCTCTCATCTTCTGGGACCCCCATAATTCTGATGTTGGTTTGCTTGAAGTTGTCCCAGAGGTTTCTTACATTATCTTCAATTTTCTGGATTCTCTTGCCTTCTAGCTTCTGTGGAGGAGTGTCTTCTGGCTCTTTATGTTCCAAATCTTTGACTTGATTCTTGCGATCTTCCCTTCTGTTTTTAGGACTCAGTAAAATATTTTTTATTTCAGACAATGTATTCTTTATTTCTTGTTGATCCCTTATCATTTCTTGTTGACTCCTTATTAATTCTAGTTGATCTCTTTTCATATCCTCATAGGCCTTATCCATCTTTTCTAGGAAATTCTTGAAAAACCTTATAAGCGTAGATTTGAACTCTATATCCAGATGCTTTTTGTCCTCCATTTCTTTCGTTTGTGATCTATTTTGTTGTCGCATTTCGCAGTTACGGATGGGACGGGGTTTCAGGGTGGAGCCTGCAGCTTTGGCTTCCGTCAGCCCCGCCCTATGCGGGTCCTTCAGTGCTCGATGCCAGCGCCTCTGAGAGAAAGGTGCCCTCGATTTTCGCCTGCTGCCAAACAGTCTATGCTCTCCCCCAATGAGCCCGGTATTGGGGTTCAGTTCAGTTGGAAGTGGAGTTGGAGGTGGCGTTCAGAGCAGTCTGGAGCCCAGGTCTCCTTCCCGTCAGGGCAATCCCGCGGCACAGCCGACCGTCCCTTCTCTGCGCGCAGAGTGCGCGCCTCCGGGACCTCCTTTTGCCGCTCACCAGGGTTCCGCCTTACAGCCCGGCTCCCTATGGCTGAGCCTGAGTCCCAGGGGTCTGGCCCAGAACCGGGGTTCAGAGCAGTCGGGGGCCCAGCACAGTCGGAGTTTTATCTCCTTTCTGCTAGGGAACGCCCGCCAGGCACTCGGGCTCCCTCCTCTCTGGCTCCGTCCTCTCCGCACACCGCGTCTCCGTACCTTGGGCTTTTCCAGTTCCTCCGCGCCTCCTTCTGGTTTTCTCCTTGCTTCTCGCTGTAGAATTTCCAGTCAGTCAACCTTCCTGTAATTCTGGGCAATGTCCGTTTTATATTTTAGTTGTTTTTTATTGAAATTGTTGTGTGCGGCTGCAGCTAGGTGTTCACCTGGGCGCAGCCATCTTGGATCCTCAAAAGCTTTTTATATCAAAAAGAAGGAATTCTTATCATTTACAGCAACCTGGATGGAATTGGGAACATCATGCTGAGTGAAATAAGCCAGTCAATGAAAGAGAAACACCACATGACCTCCCTCATTTATGGATAATAAAGAACATTATAAACTGTTGAACAAAAAGATAGATACAGAGACAGTAAAGCAACAAACAGACTGTCAAATTACAGTGGGAAGGATAGGGATTTATGGGGGAGATAAGAGATCAACCGAAGGACTTGTATACATGCATATAAGCATAACCAATGGACGGAAAACTTTGCGGGGGGAGGGCATGTATGTGAGTGGGGGGAGCAATGGAAAGATATGTACACATATAATACCTTAATATAAATAAATAAATAAATAAATAAATAAATAACAAACACCTCCCCCCCACCAAAATGCCAACTCATTGGCACTGAAGTAGAAAGATAAAATACATACATACATACATACATACATAAAATAAAAATAGCTGAAACCAGTTTGGCTCAGCAGTAGAGCGTTGGTCTGTGGACTGAAAGGTCCCAGGTTCAATTCTGGTCAAGGGCATGTACATTGGTTGTGGGCACATCCCCGGTAGGGGGTTTGCAAGAAGCAGCTGGTCGATGTTTGTTTCTCATTGACATTTCTAGCTCTCTATTCATCTCCCTTCCTCTTTGTAAGAAAAATCAATAAAATATATTTTTAAAAATAAATAAAATAAATAAATAAAAATAAATACAAATCTCAGACATCTCACATGGCAGAATTTCTGCCAACTCATCTCCTAGGGCAAGAGAAACAGGAAAAAATAAACAAGTGGGTTTTCATCAAAGTAAATAGCTTCTGCACAGGAAACAAATAAAACACACACACAAGAACTGAGAACAAACAAACCAGAAACCCCCACAAAACCATCAGCAAAGCAACAAGGAAGCACACTGTATGGAAGAACATATTTGCCAATGATACATCTTGAAACGGGTTAATTAAAAAAATAAACAAAGTTTGTATATAACTCCACACCAAGAAGACAAACAATCCAATTTAAAAATTGAGTAAAGATCTTGAATAAACACTTCTCCAAAGTGGACATACAGATGGCCAAGAGACATTATGGAAAAATGCTCAAAATCGCTAATCAACTGAGAGATGGAAATTAAAAGCATAATGAGGTATCACCTCATATCTGTCAGAATTTGTTGGCTATCATCAACAAATCAACAATGACAAGTGCTGGAAAGGACGTGGAGAAAAAGGAAACCCTAATACATTGCTGGTGGGAATGCAGACTGCTGCAGCCATTATAGAAAACAGTATGGAAGTTCATAAAAAAATTAAATGTAGAACTTTCATTTGACCCAGGAATCCCACTTCTAGGAATATATCTTAAGAATCCCAAAACACCAATCAGAAAGAATGTATGCACCTCTATGTTCACAGCAGCACAATTTACTACCAGCTGAGATCTGGAAACAGCCCAAGTGGAAGGGTTTGGGGGAACAGAAAGAGAATTTGTACACATGTATTGGCTGCTCATGGGTGCAGCCAATAGTGTGGTGAAGGCCTCAGGTGGGGTAGTAGCAGGGTGGGGGACAATGGGGGACATCTGTAATACTGTTAACAATAAAACATTTTCATTTATATATTAGGCACAATAAGAAATTAACAATAACTAGTAGTAAAATAGATCCATTTTAACAATGTACTCTAATAACTAAGATAGCTACTAAATGACTTAAGAGTGCTGGCATTATGATGTCATCACATTATTTAGGGAAGTGTGCAATTTAAAACTTTATTTCTGGAATTTTTTATTTAATATTTTTAGGTTGTCATTGATTGCCAGTCAGTGCAACCATGGGAAGCAAATCCACAAATAAGGGGGGAGTGCTGTAAGGAAAAAACATAGTATACACAGGGCTCAGCACCACCCGCAGTTCCAGGCATCCACTGAGGCCTTGCAGCATGCTCCCCATGGATATGGGAGTCTGTACTAGCAGGCAGTACTTCACGTGATTTCAAGTGAAAAATACGGTCATTTCAATCATGCCACTTATTTCAAAAGATAATTCACATAGATCTAGAAGTGTCAGCATTTGCTAACCAATCTCTACACGGTAGTAAGAGGGGACTCAGGCCTTGAGGAGTGCAGTTCCAGGCAAAACCCTGTGTGTGATCTCTCTGACTCAACTGTAGGCGATTTTCGGGTTTCTTGGGAGGCCTCTGGAGAAAAGCTGTCCTCCCCACACCAGATGTGGGAGTAAACAATGCACTGTAATTTTCTTGAGGGAGTTGTAGTCACACTCAGTGCCTACCCTCTAGCTCATATCCATGTATCACTCCTGTCCCGGCCTTCTTGGAGGTGAGGACAGGGGTAACCTTTCCCTCTTCCCACCTTTCCTTTTCATCCAGCCTCCCTGGGGTTGGGGCCCATAAAGCTGCAGTAATTGAGATGATTCCTGAGTTTGTGCTGATTCCTTCGCCCTCGCTCAGCACTTGGTGGGGTGGTGGGGAGCTCTGAGCAAGAGGTGCTGGGCTCCCTTGCCCTCTGCATGCACTGATACAGCACATACATAACTACTGGGCTATTTCCTTTCCTAACTGACCACCTCCACACCCAATTGCTGAACAGGATGGAACTGGCACCCAGGCAACACACTTACTAGTAGTTTGAAATGAATATAATTTTGTTCTGTATTATCTTTACCCTGACCCCATTACCCTCTACTATGGCAACTGGCACAGGGTGGCTCTTTCTGATATACAATTTCCTCCATTAGTGAATTTATGGGAACAAAAGTGTGTGGCTTACTTGGAAATACTAAGTAAAGAGTGAATAAAATATAGCTATAGAGAAACACCACATGACCTCACTCATTTGTGGATAATAAAGATCATTATAAACTGATGAACCAAAAGATAGATACAGAGACAGTAAAGCAACAAGCAGATTGTCAAATTTCAGCGGGGAGGGGAGGAGGATCTGGGGGAGATAATAGATCAACTGAAGGACTTGTATACATGCATATAAGTACAACCAATGGACATAAAGCTCTAGGGAGGGAGGGGATGTGTGGGAGGGAGGGAGAGGGGAAAAATCAATAAAATATGTAAAAATAAATAAATAAATAAACAAATAAATAAAGAATTAAGGAAAAACATATAGTCTATAGTATAGTATAGTATAGTATAGTATAGTATAGTATAGTATAGTCAGAATGGTATGGTATGGTATGGTATGGTATGGTATGGTATGGTATAGTATAGTATAACATAGTATGGAATAGTAGTAATCTCTTAGCTCGGGGAAAACTGGCATAGTTCAATGCTGTGGGGAAGTATTTGGCCTTCAAAGAAGAGAAGGACTAAAGCATCCACGCTCTTCGTGCTGTAAGCTCGCGCCTGCTGAGTGGTAGCAAGAACACACTTACGTCCCGTATGGCTTCATAGAGGGCTTTGAAAGTCGGCTGCTTATCATCATGGTAGACGCCTCGGTTCCCATGCAGAACAGACACCCCTTCGAGCTCTGCCCCTTTGCAGTTGCTACCATACATGCAGTGGTCAGGACGGTAGTTCCAGTGGCAGGGGAACACATAGAGACATTCTGGTGGTGACAAGAGAAAGACATGTCCACAGTCAGTGCTGGCTCTTCGGCAAACCTGACGATTAAACCAACGTTTCCATAAATGGCACATAGCAGATGATTTAATGCACTTTTGTGATTATGACTCATGGACCACATTTCAACACATTTGTTAATATCCTGAGGTCAGAAATTAAGAGGGTATACATCAGTGATGTTGTCAGTCCCTCCCCCCGAAAGGAGAACAGGGGATAAGAAGGCACACAAGCTCTTGCTCAGACAATTGGTCTGAATCCCAACTCTCAGCAAAACCTAAGTCCAGTGATTTAATATTCCTGTGCTTCCATTTTTTTTAACCTATAAAATGGGAATATAGGACCTCCTTCTTATTTTGATAATTAAATGTAAAATTTTCATGTAAAATCTTAGCAGAGTACTAAGCACATAGTGATAGTTGATAAAGTTAACAGATATAATCAACTATTCAGAAAGATTTTGTGACATGGACAGATCCCCAAAATGGGAGTTAAGATTAAAGCAAAGATTTGTCTTAGGATTAAAACCAACCAACAGCCTTGGCTACTTGGCTCAGTGGTTTCAAGTTGACCTATGAACCAGGAGGTCGTGTTTCGATTCCTAGTTAGGGCAAATGCCCAGTTTTGGGGCTTGATGATTGATGCTTCTATCTCAAATTCCCCCTCCCTTCCTCTCTGAAATCAATAAAAATATATTTAAAAAAAAACACAAAAAACTAAAACCAACAAACAACAGCAAAGGAGAAAAAATCCAAAGAAAGAAGCAAAGACAAAAGAAAGTTCCTATGCCATGTTGACAATACACACTGGGTGAGCATGTGCACATATGTACACCTGTGTGTTTCTCTCTAACCCAGTGGTTCTTAGCCAAGGGCAAAATTACCTGCCCCTGCAGCCAGTTGGCAATGTTTGGAGGGAGACATTAGTGTAATATACGAGAGAAGCTGCAACTTCCATCTGGTACTAGAGAGAACAAGAGTACCCCAACATCACCCAGTGAATAGACAACCATCACAGCCACAATAGCACCAAATCAAGAAACTCTGCTGTAATCCTGTTGAACTCAGAAAATGTCCCCTTGATGAATAGGAAAACACAATTATCAATAAATCCATAACTCCCCAGCTTCCTGGCCCTCAGCTTGATGGCTTTAAAAACTGGGCTACAGGCATATGGACCAGAGTTCTCTGTGAATGTGGGTTACTGATCAGAAGAAAGGCCCGTCTGAGAGCACCAAAGAAGTAGAGAAGATAGATGACACTGTCAGAAAAGCAGTTTGGAGATGTGCTAGTGGGTTGGGTTGATAGCATTCACTTCTCATGGAAAAACCCCTGCTTAGAGAACCCTTTCAGAAAGCTTTACTAGAAAGTGAAGAATGAAGAGGCTACCCCCACATACCTCTGGCAGACTGTGCTAGTACTTATGTCAGGGTAGGCAGCTGGTGAGGATGAAGAAATGAAGGGAACAAATGGAATCAGACTTTCAGCCTGATCTACTAGTGAGCGGAATCAGACAGTGAGCCTGAGCCAGCAGGAAGTAGCAGCATTCACAGGCTCCCCCTAAAACAACCACGCCCTCACTGGGCAGGAAGAATGTCTGGAGAAAACCAGCCATTGGTCAGGGTCCCAGAGTGGAGACATAAGCAACAACGAAATTCCTTTGCTCTGCACCTGTGCAGTGGAAGTCAATATGGCGTAGCAGGAGTGAGCAGGTGCTCAGCAGAAACAAGATGAAGCAGCAGGACTCTGGGGCATGTGCTGTAGGACTCTGCCCCTTTATGCCACAGTGGTGGCATAAAGGGGCAGAGTCCAGCCTAGGAAAACTAGGAAAAGAATGATATTAGATGAGGTGCAGAACCCCAGGATATCCAGGCCATGGATTGGTTAGGGAAGGACCAAGCACAAGCCTGGAAAACCCCAGAGAGCAGGTTGGACAGCTTTGTGGAGGAAAGGGGGCCACGTGCTCACCCGATGGGCTCAGGGAAGGCCTGTGTGGCGGCCTTGCTAACTCAGAGACAAAGCATGGTCTTAAATTAAAACATTTTAATTTAAAAAAGCATTTTATAGTGGGTAGCTATACCTAGGCTAGTATTGAAGTATGGTAGCAACCATACTTGAGTAAAAATTGCTGTTTAATATTTTAAACTTGCTGTTTTGGGTTCTGTACTCATTTAAAAGTTATTTTGATTTTCTGAACTTATGTATGATTGAATACTCCCTTGATGACTATTTGAATATCCCATTGATTGTAATCTCACTGGTCATCGAAGTACATTCCTCTGGGACCCAAGACAGTTCAATCATCCTAAATGCCCTCAGCGGCTACAGATAGTGCATTCCTGTTGACTCAGTGGTCCCAGAATCCAGACAGCACAATTATTCTAAATTGTCCAGGTTGTCCGTTTCAAATAATGTGTTCCTGTCGATTTATTTTTATTTATTTTTATTTTTTTAAATAAACCTTTATTGTTCATATTATTACAAATGTTCCTCATTTTTCCCCCCTCCATTGATCCCCTCCACCAGGTTCCCACCCCACCCTCTGCCCTTTCCCCACCCCACATTGTCCTCATCCATAGGTGCATAGTTTATGTTCAGTCTCTTCCCGTAGATACTCTAGGTCAGTGTTTCCCAACCTTCTCTCATGATGAGAATCACCTGGTGGAGTTGTTAAAACACAGATTCCTGAATCCCAACTAAGAAGTGCTAAACTAGAATTTTGGGGAACATATAGGTAAAATTGTATACTTAACTAGTGCTCTAAGACAGATTTTATATACAGAGCACTAAGTTAGGTATGCAATTTTACCTATATGTTCCCCAAAATTCTAGTTTAGCACTTCTTAGTTGGGATTCAGGAATCTGTGTTTTAACAACTCCACCAGGTGATTCTCATCATGAGAGAAGGTTGGGAAACACTGCTCTAGGTAACTAACTCGCTCAGTTTCACTTCTGTAAAATCTTGAAACAGGTTCCTCATTCCAAACCCAAAGATGTAATCAATACTTTTGTGATTTTCTGCCAATATAAGCCAGAAGTGGCCAGCTGTTTGGGACTGCGAGATTTGGAGCTTTAGCCCCTGTATGCAGCTGCCCTTTAATAAATGACTCCATAATTCAATTTCTTGAGGCGTCCTTTGTAAGATGGGGGTTACACTACATTTGGAGGCCCCAGCAAGATCCACCACTAGAGGGCGCTGGTCTGGACGCCAAGGGAGGCCAATCCCCTTGGCTGGTTGTGGAGCCCGAGGGAGAAGTTCCAGGGCCCAGGAGAACTTCCCTCCGGGTCCAGCGAGTGGACAGGGAACACTGGCACATCCATAAAATTTGTCTCGGAGTCCTGGAAGCCCCCTGAGGGGAGTCCGGGCTTACTGGTTGAGCGGTCACCTGGGGATGGTGGAAAGGGCTGGACTTCCCCATCCCAGAAGTGCCCTGAGACCTCAGAGCTCACTCCTGGTTTCTGGTTGTTTTTTTTGTGTGTGTGTGTTTTTGTTTGTTTGTTTGTTTTGTCATATTTGGGCCCTCTGTGTATTATTTGTTGAGTTTTGATTTGTCAAAGTTTTGTCAGTTTGTTGTTAGGTTTGTTGAAATCCTCTTGGAGGACATTGAGCGGTTCTTCCCTTCCTGTTTAACCTTTGACTGTGTGACTGGATTACTGAGCTTTTTATCAAGGTTCCTTATAGGGTTTTGCCTCTCCTGAAATAACCCTCTACGTGTACCCTGTCCCTCCCCAACTAAGCACTCTTTTCCCAGATCAGTGTCTGACTCCAGGATGGCTTTCCCCTCACAGTCCTTGGCGTACTCCGGGAGTTTTGATGTTTTTTCTTTCACATACACTGGTCCTGCCCACTGACCTGCAGCGGTGGCGGTGGAACCAGAAAAAGTGGCGGCGGAGGTGGCAGCGTTTGCAAGCCTCCTCCCTCAAGGGGTTTGATTCCTGAGCCTCAGTCTCCCTGTGCCAACCCTCCTGGTCCCGCCCTCATTAGGGGAGGCAGACCGAGCTCCAGAGAAACTCCCTAGGTTGTATGATGAGGCATTTATCTGTTTGCTAAGTCTATTAGTCTTGTTTCCTTTGTCCAACATGAGTGCCATTTCTGTTTTGCTGAAACATGAGTCGAGTATCCTGTCCTGGGATGTGGGACAGGGAGATCCCCATCAGGGGACTTGGGCAGTGTTCCCGTTATCTGCTCAGATCCCAAGACTATAAGAGCACTTATTTACTGAAAGGGTATAAGTACAGATGTTTGTTTGATATTTTGTTTGTCTGCCTGGGTATAATTATTTGTTCATGTAAGTGTGGAAGTCTGTGAGAAGATAAAAAAACCCACATTTAATTTATTTAAGGCTGAGTGCTCTGACACATAGCAAACTGCCCCGAGTGGCCACTGGGATTAATTTGAAGGTATGAAGTTGTAACAATTGTGTTCCGAAGAGGTTTAAAGCAGGGACCAAATTCTAAAGTTAATTATTTACAAGAAGGAAGCCAGAGCTGGCAAAGTCACCAAGTTTGCCCAGAAAGCTAAAACAAACAAACAAAAACAACAACAAAAAACAAACAAACAAAAACTAAATGAATCTTATTTTGACACCTGCCATCACCCAGTCTTAATCAGTGGTGGAGGATTGGTCTCAACTGTTTGTCTCAATTGGCCATTGGAGTTTAACATGGTTAATGATTACAATACATTGTAAAACCTTCAGAAGGAAAGGAATTATTAGTTTTTTAAAAATCAGTACTTTTTAATGGAAACATACTCAAGCAAAGGACCTTTTCAGAAAGGTCAGGAAGTCTGATTGCAGTATAGGGGTCACTGATTCCCCCACACCACCTTCATTGGCAGTAGGCAAGCGCTTTCCCCAGAGGGAACAGAGAGCGGACTGCCAGATGCAAATGCCTTGGTAGGAGCACCTCCTTAGCCACATGGGACCTCGCCCTGCTCCCTGCCTCCGCCCACCAGGTGCCCATCCCCTCCAGGGGTTGTTCTGAG